ATCTTAGGTTGTGCAGCCGGGTGCACAGAGATGACCTTCAGCATACACTGGATGGCTGCACAGCCACTCATATCCATGAGATTGGTGCCTGCCTTCATCATCTTATGGGTGAACACTGTCTGTAAAGAAATGGTACCCATATTCCCAAGATAGGAAATATGGCCCCAGGTATACCCTTCTTCCCTCTTCTAGCCAAAAGTGAGAACACAGACAAACAAAGGGAGAAGAGATGTGGCAAGAGTTACTCTCCTCTTTCAACATTGTACCTACACCTCCCAACTAGGTTGTTGGGTTTTGCAAATAATAATATGAATACAGATTGCCAGGTTTTATTTGAATTTCAGCTAAACAGACATAATTTTTAGTGTAAATGTGTCCCCACTATTGCTTGGGTCATGTTTCTACTAAAAATTACTTAAATTACTTTTCTGAAATTCAGATTTAACTTAGCAGTGTGTATTCTATTCAGCCACCACATTCACAGGCCCTACTAAGAAACAAACTTAGTTGTAAATATAAGAACATAATTCAGAGCTTCCTTGCCCCTCCCTGGCCTGGTTCCACTGGCCTAGGAGTCCCACTTTATTTCTGTTCCTTTTCTCCCTAATAAAATTACTCTTTCCCTTAAAAGAAAAGAAAAGAAAAGAAAAGAAAAGAAAAGAAAAGAAAAGAAAAGAAAAGAAAAGAAAAGAAAAGAAAAGAAAAGAAAAAGAACATAATTCATTCATAGATTAGGAGTCTAACTTCACACATTTGGTGCTTGAATTTGTCCCTGGTACACTTTCATATCTCACAAGGGGGTAACTTTTACCTTTCACTAGGGTTAAGTAAATTCAAGTAGATCTTAAACTGCATTGTTAGCTGCACAAAGTCCAAAATGCCCACTGCCATTGGCAGTTGGGTTTATCTGACACTAAGTTTTCTGCCAAAGGATGGTTGTGGCAGGAAATGCCCTATTGAGCCTGGCAGCTTCCCCATTCTTTTCATTGGTATAGTGGGCTTCTTCCAGAATGAAGATAGCTTGACATACCTTCTTCAGGCATCAGTAATTATTTGACCAGTCAGCAACAAAATAAGACCCTCAAGAAAATGTAAACTTGAAAGCATCCCTCTATGCTCACTTGACCATCAAATGAAGAAGTGATATGGGGCTAGTGAGGAAGGGAAGGGGACCGTACCTAGTAGAGGAGCCTTCCCGTACACGTGGCATAGGCTGCACGTAGGCATATGATCAATGATCTGTTTTCTTTAAAACACTCATTTTGAACTGAGATTCCTGCCCCAATGATGCCTGAATGAGTGCTGGACATTGACACTATCAGATGTAGCAGCATCAGGATAACTGAGAACCTGATTAACAAGTTCTGGGGGCTGAACATGACAAATGCCAGAAACATCAAGTGTGATGGGCTGTTTGTGTATGATTAACTTTTTGTGTAGCTCATTATAGAAAGGCCAGCTCAAGATGAGATGGCAGAAGGGTCTCTTCAAGGTGCTACACCCGCCATTCTCTCAGATCAATGGCCAACGATCTGAAAAATATAAGCGCTCACATTCAATTTCTGTCTCTGTTTATTGATTTTTCGGTAGTGACAGGCAGCAGAATCCAGGCCCATTCCCATTAACAGAAGAACTGACGTGGACCAGGGAGAGGCTGCTGCTTCCTCTCTGCTGGTGTGGGAAACAGAAGATGCTCAATAAAATTCACCCTCTGTGAATCTCTGGTGCCTCCACTCTCCCTTCACAGAACAATTGGACAAAAAAAGGTTTTTTCCTTACAGTTGTGGCAACTGGAATGACTTTCAGACACTCCTCATCATCCTACACCTAAAAGCACAGATTTAAAAACAGTCCACATAAATCTCCCTGTCACCCTTCAAATTCAACGCCACCTGTAAGTCCCTTCAGCAGAGAAACTCTAAAGCTTCCTCAGTCCTTAATATTGATCTATTTGTGTACAGAAAACTATTTAATGACCAAAGAGCCTGCTTATACTGTGGGTTTCACATACAGCATTGTTCAAAGGCAGCAATCATCCTTACCTCCCCCAAACCCTCACATACTTTTCCCTCCCCTAGAAAAATGTCTTTCTTGCCCTACAAGAAAACCCAATCTTGGCTCCCTGGGGTGTCACTTCCTTCTGAATTATGCTGAGAGAAAAAAAAAATCAAATGTCCTTTTGTACCCTGGAAAGCAATTGCAAACCCTATAATTCTTTTTCCCCCTTATGTAATTTATACATTGGCTTTCAGTGAAATACACCCTCTACAAATTTGCTTTGTATTTGGAAGACAGCATCTTCAGCTCTGACCTTGTTCCTTGTAAATAAGGAAACTGAATTCCCCATCCACCAGAGAACGAATCACTTTATCTTCTGGATAAATGAATCAGTCATTTACTTGTCGGAAAGATGACTTTCTCTTTGGAAAGTCGGGCTGTAGAGTAGTTGTTCTAAATCATGATAAAGCATCTGCATAGTAAATTGAATAGTTTTTCTTCGGTTTTCCTTTGGAAGAGGGCCAGTTCTCTTACAGAGTTGTTGGGTAGTAACAAAAATGTTTATGCTGCCAGCCATCTACCAGTAACTAACTCTATCCTAAATCTCCTCAGTATATGGCCAAACTGGAGAAGTCAGAGGGGCAAAAGAGAAGCAAACAGGGAAATACTAACTGTGGACAAAGTGTTCCTTGGAACATCTAATCGTCTGCCTATTTTCTAGCCTTGTGAAGGAAACTAAGCAGAGCTAGTAGGAATATGCCTACAATGGACCAAGAGCACATTTCAGGAGGAGGTGGGACGAAAACAATTTGTTGAGTGCCACACTGGCTCAGTGATTTACATGCCTTCCTCACTCCTCAGACAATCCTGAAAAGTTGATATTTTTACCTTCATTTTTCAGAGAAGGAAAATTAGAGATTTAGGGGACTTGTTCAAAAATCATACAACCAGCAAATTGCCAAGGCAGAGCTCCTCCCCATGGTTACTAAGTCTCTACTCTTAACCCTCATCATTGTTACATCAAATCCAAGTTACATGCATCCCACTCGCATGACCAGTCGGCCCCTCAAGCACAGCAGAACTCCCAATCTCCCCTTCTAAATCCACTCCTCTAGCATTGCTCCTATCTCTGGAAATAGCATCTCGAATTTTTTCTCCTCCTTGGGTAAAAATCCGTGAAGTTATCCTCGACTCCCTCTTCCTCTAGCAGCCACAAATAATCCATCAGCAAAACTCACTGATTCCCCACTTTAGGATTTTCCGTGAATCTGACCACCTCTCACCATCTTCATCATTTCCACTGTGGGTGTCAACCACCCTTATCTTTTGTCTAGATTATTATAATACTTTTGCTCCCCCAGTGTTATTCTCCAAAAGGTACTCCAAAAGATCCTTCTGAAATATAAGTCAGACTTGGGTTTCCCAACTCAAAATCCTTCCATGATGTCCTCCCTTACTCAGAGTAAAAGCCAAGGACATCACCAAGGTGTAAAAGCCACTGATAAGTGATTTGCAGACACCCTTGTATATGCTTCTCCTCCCCCTCTTTAATTTCACTCCAGCCACTCTGGATTCCTTGCTCCTCCTCAAACATGCTTAGCCCTCTCCTACCTCAGGATCCTTGTAACAGCTTTTCCTTACACCTGAAACAGTCTCTTCCCTTCACCCCATGTATTCACACCATTTGCTCCTTTACATCTTTATTTTTCTCTAATCAACCTTTGCAAAATCACAGATTCCCAAACACCAACAAAAATGGCATTCTGTTATTTTCTTTACCTTGCTTAATTTTTCTCCATGACACCTAGGTATCAGAGCAGATACATTTGTTGTTTGTTTGTTTTTCCTGTCTCCCAATAGACAGTATCTTCCTTGAGGGTCTTGTTTGGTTCAATGCTCTATCTCCAGTTTCCAAAACAGTGCCTGACACATAGTAGGTGTTCAGTAATTATTTGTTAAATAAAAAATGAACTTGACCACTTTTTGCACCTTTAGGAAAACATCTTAATTTTCCTTAGTATTTCCTTTATTATCTTCTAAATGAGGATAATGCTAGTACTCACCCACCATTATGAAAACAAAAGGAAACAACCAATATGAATCTTACCATTCAACAGAAGACATCACTGCAACATTATTATTTATTATATTTTTGTTGTCATTGTAATCATCTAGAATTCTCTATAAAGTTTTATAAAACTCCATAGCATTCTGAATATTATATATAATTTTAAGAAGGAAATGACAATCTTCCATTAAAACACTGAAAACCAAGAGAAAATCCCTTACTAAGATCACAGAAATTACTGAACTCTTCACACCTACATCAGAAAGTTCTCTATGTTGTCCATCTGGAATTTACCCAGCCTGAGTATACGCCCCTTAAAGTCTTAAATTCTTTCCTTCCAAATGAGTTACCATCACAAACCTAATGCAAATCTGTCATCCATTTGGCAATACCACCTTTTATTCCCCTACTCTGCCATTTATCCTTCTACCAAGGTTTACCATTAACCACAGCACATTAAGCCGTCTCTCTGTGTTTATCTCTCCCACCAGATTCTAAATTTGAGAGTAGATGCCAAGTCTTATCAATATTATTAGCATGTTGTCCCTGCTAGCCCATTAGAGATTATCAAAATATAATGTTCAAAATAAAAGTTGGACAGTGTGATATGGCAAGAACACAAGCACCAAGTGCTCTAAGGTCGAATCCTGGCATCTGTGTGATGGTTCATAGGTGATATGGTGGCAGGAGAACTATGGGGCTTACAGCATTATAAGAAAAAAAAAATTAATTAATTAAAAAAAAAGTGGACTAGGAGAAGACAGGGATGTGTGTATACATGGAAGGTCAGAGAGAGGACCAGAGCCAGTCCCCCCAAAAGCTCAAGCCTCAAACAAGCTTGAGTTACCTGGGGCCTTCAGACCAAGCTCCATCTGCGTCTCCTGCACGCTGCCCACCACCTAGTGCTCGCTTGCACCCCTGAGCCCAGCCTCACCTTATGGAACTGCGGAGGGTATATTCGAGCGGCTCCATGGTTCAGCAGCAGCTGGTAGCAGATCTCAGGCTGGGCGGCCGGGCGCACGGAGGTGACCTTCAGCACGTACTGGATGGCCGCACAGCCGTTGATATCCATGAGGTTGGCTTCGGCGCCCGCCTCCAGCATCATGTGCATGAGCACATGGTCGCAGTTCCAGGCGGCCTTGTGGAGCGGAGATTTAAAGTCGTCATCCCGGGCATTGACCTCAGCCTTGTAGTCGAGCAGTATGCGGCAAATGAGGTGGTGCTCCCTGCTGTACTCCTGCTCTTGAAAGCGGAGGGCCCAGTAGCTGGCGATGGCGAGTGGCGTCTCCATGTGGGCGTTCACACTGTCCACGATGGCTCCGTGCTCCACGTAGAAGGCCACCAGCTCCGAGAGGCCGAAGTGCGCAGCCGTGTGCAGGGGCGTCTCCTCATCCTGGTTGTTGGTCTTCAAGTTCACATTTGCTCCTAAAAGGAGAGATTCAGGAAGACAATGATTGAAACAAATCTAGGCCTTATTCCCAAAGTTCATTAAGCCGGGTTTTTCTCACTGCTTCCTTTTTAACTTCCGATTGCAATGCTTTGTTTTACACCCCCAAGTTCTTTTACTGGGCCCCAAGGAAGTCACACCTTTGAAGCAACAGTGCCATCTCCTGGACGACTAGGGAGAGAGCAAAGCCTCGGCAGACACTGGAGAGGGTTGATTTTAATTCTTAATCCAGGTGAGGTGAATTTGGAAATATAAAGTGACTCCTATACCCACATAGCTTTAATCAATAAAATACCAAATGTCATTTTTTAAAAAGGTTATATCACAACATTTGAAGCTCATACAGTGTCTTTAAACGTCATTGATTTCTTTTTCTGAGCAGGTAAACCTAAAAGTTTGGTCCAGACAAAAGTTAGTGGTATGAAAATTGCCCAATCCTCTGACTGAAAGCTGATCTGTTTAGGTAATCTCCCTAAGTCTATGAGGCCTCCTTGAAACACGGCTGCAGAACATAACAAAAAAACACAATCACTTTGACCACCAAATTGGCCTAAAATGGTTTCCACAGAGAGGAGCTGAAGTTGGTATAGTAGAAATACTCATTGAAGCAAAGACAACAATTTAGAAAGTGTAACATGTTAGATATTGCTGACAAAGATTTTTAGAAATACAAATTTTTATTGCTAAGAGAGGTCCTTAGAAGTGATTTCAACTGACCCACTTATCTAACAAACCAGTAAACTGAAGTGATGTTTTTCCCCCCTGAGGCAACATTAATTTATAACAACATATAGGTTTCAGGAGAATAGTTTCTCACCCCAGCAACTGTATTTATCACACCATGTCCACCCACCACTGATCAGCCCCTTCCACCTGTCCTTTCCTTCCCCTGTGGTGATCACCATTCTGTTGTCAGAGTCTAAGGGTTTACTTTGTTCGTTTGTTTTGTTTCTTTATATTCCACAAATGAGTGAAGTCATAGAGTAATTGTCTTTCTCCTACCAACTTATTTCGCTTAGCAAATCCCCTCCAGTTCCATTCACGTTGATCAAATTGCAAGATTCCATCCATTTTTATGGCTGAGTAGTACTCCCTTGTGTATTTATACCGCATCTTCTTTATTCTTTGTCAGGTACTTGGGGGTTATTTCTATATATTGACTGTTGTGAACAGTACTCCAATGAACACAAGAGTGCATACATCTTTTTGAATTTGTGGTTTTCATATTCTTTAGATGAATATGATCCAGAAATGGGATTTTTGGAACATGGCATTTCTATTTTTAACTTTTTGAGGAATCTTCATATTGTCTTCCACAGTGACTGCACTAGTTTACATTCCCACCAACAGTGCACAGGGTTGTTGTTGTTGTTGTTGTTGTTTTATCACACCCTCACCAACACTTGTCATTTCTTGTTTTTGATACCAACCTTCTAAGCTGAGATGAAATCTCACTGTAGTTTTATTTTGCATTTCCCTACTGATACATGATGTAGAACATCTTTTCAGGTATCTGTTGGTTATCAGCATCTCTTCATTGGTAAAATGCCTATTTAGATCCTCTGCATGTTTTTTGGTTGTTGAGTTATATGACATATTTTTATATATTGATATTAATCCCCTGTCTGAAACATGGTTTTGCAAATATATTCTTCCATTCACTAGTCTGCCTTTTCATTTTACCGATGGTTTCTTTTACTGTACAGATGCTTTTTAGTTTGATGTGTTCCCACTTGTTGATATTGTCCTTTGTTTCTCTTGCTGTTGGGACAAAGCCATAAAGACATCACTAAGGCAGTTATTAAAGAGCTTATTACCTTTTCTTCCATATATTTTATGGCTTCAAGTCTTATATTCGTCTTTATTCCAGATTGAGTTGATTTTAGTGAATTTAATTTTCTAATAGGGAATGTTAATTGCTAGAATGGTCAACTTGAGAAGCTAAAATTTTCCTTTTCTGCCTAATTTAATGGAGTGAACCAAGTGACCCCTATGGGGCCTGCTCTATAATCATTTCTCCTGGAAATTTTTTTTTTTAAGATTTATTTATTTATGCAGGCAAGAGCTGGCGTATAGGCCAGAGGTGTGGGGTGGTAAGAAGATTCACCAGAAACAGAGCAGGGAGCAGAACAGGCAGATCGACCAAGGTACACTGCTGAGGGGAGCTGTGGACAAGACAGGAGAAGTCTGCTGAGTCATGTGAGTTAGCTCCCTGGCTAGGGATCAAACTCAGGCCTTAGGGGGTGATAGCACTTGAGACTTAACCCCTGGGCCACAAGGGAGGCCCTACCCTTTAAAAAAAAAATGTTTTTTTGCTTAGAAAACTAGGGTGTAGCCCAGAGGTAACAGAGGTGAAATACACTGCTGAGGGGAGCGGCAGAGGAGACAGGAAAGGTCTGAGTGCCATATAGGTTATCTCCCTGGCTGGGAATCGAACTGGCCCTGCAGTGGCTGCCAAGAGCTTCATAGTAGTGAGACTTAACCCCTTGTGCTACCAGGGAGGCCCTCTCCTGGAAATTTTTATAGGCACTTCAAGTATAAATCAGAACAGACTGTTAATATTTTCATTAGTGTTATTATTTCAGCAACTAATGCTTATTAGTCATTGTGTGCAACATTCTGAGCTAAATACTTTTCATATATTGCCTCTTTGACTCTTTCTAACAACAGTTTACAGTGGGTGTTTTTATCTTAACTTTATAGATGAAGAAATCTGAAGTTAGGCTAATAACTATGCCAAACAACAGGAAACAACTGAATAAGAAGTTTGAAGGTAGACAGACTGGCTTCAAAATCTCTTACCACTGTGCTATCCTAACTCATTATTAGATTTCTAGAAAATACATCTGTACTTAACCTTGTTTTTTTGTATTTGAAAATGTGAAGAGTAATCATATTGCTCTGTTAATTTTAAAAATCTGCTCTTCAGGTATTGCTCCTCTCTGCCCTTTTTTATGGAGTCCTGTGATCAGATGGAGCACATTTGAGTAAGGCAAGGCAGGAATTTGATATAAAATCAACCCAATCCCCCATGGGGTTTCAGAGAGCACATTGCTCTGTAAACTCTGAGACTGTCTTGTGCTCCTAACTTGCAGAAAGCAGAATTACAACCAGAGAGTGTCTTTCACGGGGCCATCTGTGTTCATCTGTATTCCACCCCAGAAAGGTTCTGGGTCGGGTCTCCTTTCAGGTCAACTCTTCTTTGCTGTGGAGTGAAATGGAATAAATAAGAATGTCTTCCCAGGAGCCATGTGCAGGGTCACTTCAGACGCTGGAGAATTTCCAGTAAGGAAGGGAATCAAAGGGTCAGGATGAAAATTTTACAGGCCAGCTTGGAACAAACCACATCCTTTATTTTTTAATGTACTTGGACATTTACAGTTGATCCTTGACCTGTTGGTACAACTAGATATTCCACGTAGTTTCCTTTTCTCAACAGTGGAGCTTATTGCTATATTTGAATTGTATCTTTGAGTGTACCTGGTTGGTGATGCATTCGAGAAATTTGAGACCATAAACACACATCCTTGGGGACTTAAAAAAAATCTTTTTTAATATGAAAATATAATGGATAGTTTCTTAGAACAATAACAACCTCATGTACTATAAAACAACAGAAATGTGCTCTCTGACACGTCTGGAGATTGGAAGTCCAAGGAGAGAATCTGTCAAGGGAGAATCTGTCTCATGTCTTCTCATAGCTTCTCATGATGCTGCAATCCTTGGTGTTCCTTGGTTTATAGATGCATCACTCCATCCGCACACGGTTCCTTCTTGTATTTCTGTGTTTTCACATGGCTGTGTCCTTATAAGGACACCAGTCACAAGTCACACTGCAATTAGGGCCCATCTGAATGCAGGATTGCTTCATCTTAGCTAATTACATCTGCAACACTCTGTCCAAATACGGTCACATGCTGCAGTACTGGGAATTAGGAATTAATATGGGGACATAATTTAACATAATTTGGAGGGGTGGCATAATGTCACCCATAATATAAAACATGCAAATATATAATATGTAGAAACACATATGTACAGTTTAAAAAACTATTGTGAAGTCACCACCCATGCCATTGGTCATATTCAAGATCAAGAAATCAAATCCTCCTGGGAGCAGAGAAGCCCTCCACTTCCCTGCGTGCCCTTCCCTGTTACAGCAACTCCATCCCGCCAGAGGTACATTCTTCTGATTATTGTGATAATGGTATCATTGTATTACTTAGAGGGACTTCCGTTTATTTTTGAACTTTACATTCACGGAATAATTAACAGGTATTCTTTTACAATTTGCTACTTTCACACTCCACTGTATTTGTGAAAATGTATGTTGGGATGTTTAGCTCTTGCTCACTCATTTATCATGTTTTGTCGCACAGCACAAGCAATGCAAAATTATTTCCTCCCACTGGTGTCAGAAATTTCCAGGTTCAGGGGATTCCAAACATTGCTGTACTGAGCATTTGTGTAACTTCTTGCTCCCCAGTGCACATGTGCAGGGGTGTCTCTTGGGGCCAATACCAATGAAAGAATTGCTGGGACCTGGAGGATGATCGCTTCAAGTTCATTAGCTGGCATCCATCAGGTGGTCATAAGAAACTACAACGTCATACCCCAAGCGTGAGTGTTCTTGTGCCACCACCTCACCAACTGTTTCATTTTAGCCAGCATGGTGGGTGAGAGCTCATTGTGATTAAACATTTGCTTCCCTAATTATCAATTAGGTTAGACATATTTAAATATTTTTATTGACCAACACTGCCTTTTGCTTACTATTATAAGCATTTATATGCTGTTTTATAATCATTTAAAATAACATTTAAAATCTACATAATGAGTGAAGACTCATTCTATGAATAGGAAAACATTTTCCACAAAGTTTTGATTTCATTACTAACACTACAATCAATACATTTGTAATTTTGTAATGTAAATTTCAAGATTATTTCCTTGGAAGAAATTCCCTCCATAATAGAAC